GGGAGGTGTATACCTTATGTACAGGAGGTGTTTACCTGATGTATGGGAGGTGTATATACCCGATGTATCTGAGGTGAATGCCTGATCTACCTGATATATGGGAGGTGTATACCTGATGTATGGGAGGTGTAGAGACCTGATCTATAGGAGGTATATATTCTTGATGCATGGAAGGTTTTTATACCGGATGTATGGGAGGTGTATACCTGATGTATGGGAGGTATATAGACCTGATCTATAGGAGGTATATATACCTGATGTATGGGAGGAGTAAACCAGGTACCTGATGTATGGGAGTGACCCGGAGGTGTTTACCTGATGTATAGAAGGTATATACCTGATGTTTAGTTGTGTATAGTTGATATCTGACTTATAGGAGTCAATGCTGGATGTATAGGTTGTGTATACCTTGTGTATGGGAGATTTATATTTGTAGTAGAGAAGGTGGAGATTTAATTTATAGAAGGTGCTTTGATTTATAGAAGGTGTTTACTTTTGTTTTATCAGTTGTCGCCCATCTCCTCCTTGGTAAGGGATATTTTGCTATAGTTTATGGAAATGAGACTTTTCAATTTGATTTTATCCATTTTCAGTAGTAATCAATTCATACTTGGTTGAAGTTGTCATCATGCGCACGCTAAGGGCCGAGGGGCGGAGCCAAAAGGGGTCAAAATAGCTAAAACAATATTTGTCTACTTCTAGATATGATGAAAACCTCCTCATGGATGGAAATATCCTGATGTGCTAAGTCAAAATGTGAATTTCACAACCCTATTCCTCCCTGGGGAGGGACGAATTCCCTGTTATACATATCTAATATTTGTTTTTGTCATTTCACAACAACAAATAACAATTGTATTACAACTCAGGTGACCTGTTAGGCCCATGGGTTCTTGTTTTAAAGTACTGAATTAGTTGGATGTGTTGATATTGGCTTCCAATAATAATCCCACTACTTACCTATAATTATTTGTGGGTTACAGGGACATGTCACATGCTAATTAAGTGTGCAGCAAAATATATGTATACTGTGATGCCCATTTATTATATATAATATCTTCCATTGTATATATAAATGTGTACCTAGTAGTATTAGACATGTGTCTATAGGTTGTAGGTTATAGAATTATGCACTATAGAAATATTTAAATTTCAAATAATTCATTTCAATATGGATTGAGTGCTGGTGCTATATACAGTATTTTAAAAAAAAGACTGTTTAAAACAGTTTCTTCTCAAACAGAATTTGTTCTGTATCAAAAAATATATATTGGTTTGGGGCTGAACTATAGATCTATCCTAGATATTATTATTAAAAAGAGTTATGCAATACTTATCCACAAGTTTTTGAGTCTTGAGCCAAAATTTTAAGCACATGTATCAGTAAACTGAATATTTCCTTTGGAATCTGCTTCAACCTTTGGGGAAAAGTCCAGTTACCATTTGCTCCCCTGTGTGATATAATTCATTTGGAAAAGGAACTGAAAAACAAGACATTCTTTTATCTAGTGCCAAACACTTTTCATAAATAAAGATGAGATTAATTTAATCTAATAAAATAACCTTGCTATGGTGATATGTACTTCCAGATAAAAAATTGCCTATAAAATATATTTTATTGTGAATTCTTTCTTGGACTTAAAATTAACCTAGAGAGGTCAAGTTAGATCAAATATAAAAATAAGCAGTTGATATTCTGGGTATAATTAATTGTATTTCATTTTAAATATTCTTCATATATTTAAGATTTGATTATATCTGGTAGATTGCAAGATTCTTTACCACCAGGTCTAAATTGACATATAGGACAGCCTTTGAAAAATGGGACAAATCTAAACAAACTACTTGGGGTGGGTAAGGGGAGGTTAACTAATTTAATTGTTTGGAAGAACACTGAACAGTTGTACATATCTTTTACCTGTTAACTCACAAAATACATGAGCACAACCTTTCAACCATGTATTTAAAACACAGGATAATCAGCAGAAATCAATAAAGTTTGCTTACAAAAAGCAAGACAATTGATGTGAATGATAAATGTTTAATCAACTAACTCAGCTTTCAGACATCTTTACCTCAAATTTGCTGTAAAACTGTCAACCAGAAACTTGGAATAAATGGCATACCTCAGGTAGACACTTGTCAAAGAACCTCATTAATAATATAAAAAAAATAACAACCCCCTCCCCAAATCAAATCAAACTAGAATTCTTCAACGAGGCTGTGTACGAAAAAGAACATAAATCTAGATGAAAGTTAAAATCTAACTTTATATGATGTGATGACTGATTATGACAATAATTCTGCACTCTTACCGAGTTTGGCATCATTAGCAATTTGCAGCTGCAATACTACTGGACCCTCTCCATATAAATTCTCGGCAAACTACTTTCATTTGTCTCATTCTGGTTGAAAATGACGTGCTACAGACTAATAAATGACATTGATTCTCACCAATAAGAACTATGTCTGAACCTTTTTCTTTAAGGCAAACAAAACCAATTGACATTTGAATAAATAATTATTGCCCAGATTACCTGTTACCAAACCTACAATGGTATGTGTAAAATTCACATCCTCCATTTTCTGACTATGTCATCATGGCTTGACTTCCTGTGTCATACCAATGACCTATAGTGCTACAAATTATCGTATTTGTCATGTTATACTACAAAAAAGGGTTACACTAATGTATTTGTCAAATGCCAAACCTTTTAGAAATTGAGAAGTGTTTGTCGGATGTCAGATGGTCGCCGTTGTCTGCATCAGTGATTTCCGTGAAAATGGACTTCGTGAAATCACGCGGTAATCACGTGATCCGACACCATTTTACTTGTTGTATGCACATGTGCTTTCAGTATTCTAGAAAATTCTATGAATTTAATGAAAGTCAATGGGAGTCATTCACAAGTACAATTAAAAGTTCAGTTGCTGTTATGATATTAATATTGATATTAACTATAAGCAAAATTCAGAAAAAAATCCTTTTTTGTTGGGTGGTAGCAATAATCACCCGTCCCTATATCAATGTCTACCCTTCCCCTCTTCGGCGTGTTTCCAACATCAAAATGTCAATAAATGACCTATTACTACAAAAGTACAAAACATGTCTAACACTACAGCTTGATATTTATACAAAAATAAATATACTTACTTGTTTCTGGCCGGTATAAAGTCTTCTCTTCAGTGTCCTACCTGTCAGTTCGGCCTCACCTTAGTAAGTTCCGGTAGAGCGCCGCCTATTGCTCATGTCTCTAGAAGGGGAACCACTCTAATATTGTGAGCTAATACACAATGACACCAATGTAACGATTAGGGATTCACTGTAGAGTTTTAAATATAGATTATCATTCATGCTTGTATTCCTTTTAAATCTCGCATGAATGACAAACCGCATGACAAAACTTTAAAATGTCTAAAAATAATTCTTTTATTGACCACCTATCTAACAAAATAATTGGATGAAATCCGACATAACGTTACATGTATTTTAAGCTGTTCAGACTGAAACGAAAGCTAAAAATAAAGAAAAAACCCAAGTTGCTCGTATTATCTTTATTTCGAATGTCAAAAGTGAGGGTTAAAATCGGGGGACTTGACCAGTATTCTAAAAAACATGTTACAGTGACGTGCCATTTTTTTTTCAACGTTGCGTCACTTTTCCGTTTGTTTCTATCAGAGACGTATATATTACAATATTACATTGTAATATATATCAGAAACATATATATTACATTGTAATAATGGGGGTTACATATGTGTAGATGTCACATATTACATTGTAATAATAATAATAATAATAATAATAATATACAACATTTATATAGCGCTCTACATAATTTGTAAAATTACTCTAAGGCGCTTTACAACATATGGATAATAGTATGGTTATAATTGTGAAAACAAACAACAAAGGCTTGCAACCACTTTCATACATTTAACAAGCAATGTGCACATAATTGAACAAATAAAAGGGTAGTATTAACATTACGGCTTTGCAAAGATTCTAAAATGCAGACGTGAAGAGGTGAGTTTTTATGTCCCTCTTGAACTTGGCCAGGGTATTTGACTTCCTAATAGCAGATGGTAAGCTATTCCACAACGTAGCCGAAACCCTCCCAAAGCATCTGTTTCCGTAGGTCACAGTACGAGATTTTGGGACACACAACAAAGATTCTGACTCCGACCGCAGTGATCTTGACGGCTGAAACAGGGTAACAAGCTCCTGTAGGTACTGAGGAGCTGTTCCATTCAGTGCCTTGTTTGTGTATACCAGAATTTTGTACTGCGACCTGTATCGTTCAGGTAACCAGTGCAACGAATAAAGAGCAGGTGTGATGTGCTCTGTCTTTCGAGTAACTGTAACTAGCCGTGCTGCAGTGTTCTGGACCCTCTGCAGACGACTAGTTAGTTTGTCAGATATACCACAGAGCAGGGCGTTACCATAATCCAACCGAGAGGTAACAAGTGAATGCAACAAAATCTTGCATGCATCTGCACTTAGAAACTGCCGAATACAGCCGATGTTCCTGATCTTGTAGTAACAGGATTTGGCAATAGCGTTCACTTGTTTCTCCATGTTCAGAGAACTGTCAAAGTATACCCCTAGGTTTTAAACAGCTGGAACAGTCTCAATAGTCCTGGCACCAACCTTGAGCTGGAGAGCCATTGTTTGCTGACACTTTGGGGAAAAGACGATTAGTTCCGTCTTTTCCTGATTAAGTTTAATCATGTTGGCGTTCAACCAGATACTGATGTCTGTCAGACAAGCTTCCAGATTTTCTGAGGCTGTATTCCAACTGTCCTGTGGTTTTACGACCATGTAAATGTGTGTGTCATCGGCATAGCAATGATAGCGAAGGCTATGGCGACGACAAATCTCTCCAATTGGTTTGGAGTACATAGAATATTTTCGTGGTCCTAACACCGACCCTTGAAGAACCCCGCAATCTAGTACTTTGTCATGTGAGGTGGCAGATCCGATGGCAACACACTGTCGTCGTTCACTCAGGTATCACTGTATCCAGCATAGTGCGGTATCAGTCACTCCATAAGAGTATTCCAGACGTTTATAAAGTATGCCATGGTCGATGACGTCAAATGCAGCTGACAAGTCCAGCATGACAAGCACCGCTCTGCACTTGTTAGCCAATGCAGAAGCTATATCACTATGTACACGTAGGAGGGCCGTCAGTAGAGTGTCCTATGCGGTAGGCCTATTGCATGATGTCATGGAGACTGTTTGCATGGTGATGAACCTCTAAACGCCGGGACACAACCTTATCCAAGATCTTAGACAGAAAAGGCAGATTTAAAACTGGGCGGTAGTTTTTCAACTCCTCCTTGTCCATACCAGGCTTTTTTTAACAATGGTCTGACATGTGCCTTCTTGAGACATAATGGAACATTTGACTCAACCAATGATTTGTTCATGATTGCGGTAATCAAAGGAAGCAGTGCTTCAAGACATTGCTTTAATAGGGCTGTAGGCAGTGGATCAAGCTCACAGGACTTCGATTGCGAGGTCATGATGATGTTGCGCAACTCGTCCTGGGTTGTTGGGGAGAGCTTTGTCAATGGCTCACCATCAAATGCAATGTCAGCAGTCATGACAGAGATGTCAATGTCAGCAGAGTTGTTCACTTCGGTAATACTTTTCCTGATTAAGCTGATTTTATTCAGAAAGTAATCACTGAACTTGCTTGCTAAGTCTTTTTCAGAATTACAGCTTGGTAGGATAATTTCACCTTTCTGTCCCATTAGGTTTTTGGTGAGTCTAAAATGTTGTCTTTTATCCTTGCCACATTCTTCGATTTTTTCCGAATAATAAGCCTTCTTTGACTGAAAGAGCAGTGAACCAACTAGCCGTCATTGCTCTCTATAAATCAGTTGGTGAACGATTAATTTGGTCCGTCGCCACTGTCTCTCTGCTTGTCTACGTTTCTGTTTTTCCACGCGGAGATTTTCATTATACCACGGGGCATTTGGTCTCACAGTTATCACCTTCGTTTGCAGAGGTGCGTGTTTTTCTATAAGGGCTTCTATACCAAATGTGTATGCTTCAACAAGATCATCAACCTCGCCTTCAGTAGATTGAAGGGCGGAACAAGATTGAATGTCATTGTTGAAATCTGGTATTGAAATTTCGCGGAATTTCCGGAAGCTCACTTCTTTCCTTGCACGAGCTGACTTACTACAATTTAGTGTTGTGTGGACAGCAAGATGATCACCAGATTGGTTCCCCTTTACATCACTTAGACATGGATCAATCACTGAAATAGCTCCATGAATGACTGAGTTATCTTCCCTCGTTATGACCACATCCAGTGTGTGACCATGGGTGTGTGTAGCTTCTGTCACATGCTGAATCAGACCCCTGGAATCTAATAGACCAGAGAACTGGCGAGCATCAACATTAGATAGATCGTCTAAGTGGAAATTCAGATCACCCGTGATAATAATCTCTTGTGGTACAACAACTTGGTGGTCTAAAAAGGTAGATAATTCATCAAAAAACACTGTATTTCGGAAAGCATTATGCTTAGATGGTGGAGGCCTGTAAATGATACACATTCTTAATTGTTTATCACCAACAATGACAGAACAAGTCATGTGCTCAAAGTGTGTGTATACAGCATCATGGCTGGAAGAGAGATGTCTCACAATTAGGCCTTTCTTAAACAAAACAGCCACCCCACCACCACGTTTGCCGAGTCTAGCATTGTGGTGGAATTCATAACCTGTTGGTATTAGCTCAGCTAGGATCTGGTCATCAATATCTGAACCTAACCAGGTTTCTGTCAATGCAAGAATGTCAATGTTCTGATATGTTACAAAATCCCCGATGGACAATGACTTATTCTTCACTGAGCGACAGTTTAAGGACACTAAATTAAGAGGAATAACTGACTTACAGTGACCAACTTCTGTTGGCTTGATGACATGTAAATTCTCGATCGATACTGATGATGTCGGAATCCGTGTGGAAGTATCATTACGAGAATGCACAATAGTGTCGATGCCCGATACTTCTGTAAGCGAAGTTTGGCCCTGCAAGAAAGAGTGCGAGGCAGACAGACCATTTGTAGTGACCAAATGGATGAGGTTATCAGTTTTCAGGCCCAAGTGAGTAAAACCACTGGTTCGTTTGATTTAACACCGATAACACTTGGTATTCGCCTAACAGCACCCTTTCCTGCCCGTGACCCACGTCTAGTGCGCAAGTTTTTCTCCGAATTTGATGCCTTAAAATCCTCTAAAAGATATGTTGTAATATTATGACTCACTGGTCTAAGTGCCAGGAGAACAGATCTACTATATTAAATATTGTAATATATATCAGAGACATATGTATTACATTAAAATATATATCAGAGACATATATATATTACATCGTAAAATATATCAGAGACATGTATATTACATTGTAATATGTCTCTGATTTTATGTTAATTTACATTTTTGACTTTGTTTGACATCAACTTTTTCTAAAGCTTGACATTCTGTTAGATAAATATCCTAGTGTTTCACGTGGTAATGTATACATATATATATACTATCATAGTTATCCGTGGCTAAATTTTTGAGATATCATTTTTCACCCCAGCATAAAAGTTATGCTTTTACGTCACTTCCATAGGCACACCATTAAATGTTTCCGCAAAAAAAAAAAAAAAAAAAATTGCAAAGAAACCCATCACGGTTAAAATTCTATGAAACCGATAATTATATTAATATAATAACCATGAGAGGCGCTCGATAATTATCCCGCT